AAGAGTCTTCTGAGAGATAACCCTCCCAGGTAATCCGATATTGCACGAACTTCTTCCCACGACCAGCCTGCTGTCATTGGCTATCGGCTATTTTCGTGAGAACGTAACTGCCTTCCCCTTGAACCTCATCCGGAGGTGGAAGCAGTATAGCTCGTTGAGGGTCCAGCAGAGATATATGGAAGATATCATGAATGTTCCACTGAGTGGGTAGATTCAGCCTGTAGGACGCGACGCCAAGTTTCCCGACAACCTCAAAGGGACCCATTTTTTTTTTTTGGTGGTCTAGCTTATTTGAGGGTCACTTGGTTAAGATGTTGCATCGGTCCAGCATCACCTCGTCCCTAACCTTCAGTTCTGGAGCACTCATCTGTTTCTGATCATACCATTTTTTCTGCTGTGCTTGTGCCGCGCTGGACGCGTCGAAGTTGTCTAGTTTCCGTTTAAGTGAGGGCCAAGTGGAATCTGGTTGAAACCTATAGTTCGCGTAGAATGGCGATGCTTTGGTTGACTCTTGGGTGGCCGTGTTGTAGGCGTACTTGGCAAGCGGGAGTAACTCTGCCCAATCGTCCCGCTGACAGAAGCAATAGTTTTTTGAGATACTGTTCTAGCGTTTGGTTGACTCTCTCAGTTTGCCCGTCAGTTTGAGGACGATATGTTTCGAATCTAGAGTCCTGATCGGAGATAATCTCCTCAGGAAGTCCATGCAGTCGCCATATCTCCCGGAGGAAGATTTGAGCAAGTTCTTCGATGGTTGCTTTGGTGATAAAGTCCATTGAAATGGAACTCCAAGGAATAGAGAGGACCTCTAAAGGTTGCAACATCCCTTTCTTCTTGTGTGTTTGAGGCTTTAGCGCGTTGACATGTATCGCAACTCTGAACGTATTCTTCCACATCGTTGTCCATCTTTTGGCAAAGGACAGTGCCCGAAGGCGTTCTGCCGTTTTGAATTGTCCAAAGTGACCAGCAGTCTTCGAATCATGTAGGGCGCTCAGGATCTTGAGCTTCAGTTCCCGATGATTTGGAATGTACCACCTTTCCTTATAGAAGACGTGTCCGTCCTTTAAAGTCAGGTATCGGTTCACCAGATTCCCAGAGGTGTTCTCAATGGCTTTTTTCAAAGAGAGGTACTCTGGATCTAAGGCTGCTTGAGCCCAGATTTCATCCAGGAGCACCGGTGTGAGTTTGCAGATTTGGGCTGATCTTGCACATGCTGAGTTGATCATAACGATCGGGTGTTGGACAGAACCCATTATAAGTTGTCCTGGCTTAAACCAGAATTTCAGGGTCTTGATGAGCCTTACCCCCCTCTTTAAGGGCGTGGTCCCAACGCCGCGACAAGATATCTGGTTTGGCGTTTTTAGTTTTCCAGGGCGGTATACAACTTTGAAGTCAAACTCCGCGAGGTTGGCCGCCCATCGAGCTTATCTCGGTTTCAGCGCCCCTCCCCCTTTTTTTTTTTTTTTTTTGCTGGTTGGTGACGACCGTTACCGTATCTTTGTAGGAACGCAGAAGGTGACTCCGGGGGTGGTGTACCTCTATGGGATTCCGGGGACAACCCCTTGGCGAACCCAGGCTGGAGGAAACCCAGAGGTGTAACGGAGGTAAAGCGAGCCCAACTCATGCCTAGGTTCGGAAATATGGGAACTGAGGATCTTATCATCCACTAACTGACCCTTGGCTGTGAGGGTAAGGGCCTTCCATTGGGCTGCCGCATCATCCCTAGAGATAGCTTCGCCAAAGGCTGCTCTGAGAGCATCCACAAAGGAATCCCAGCACTTCCATTTCTCATCTAACACCACAGACATCCCAGCTATCCGGTTGGCAGAAGCTTGGTCAATGGAGCTGTGGTAAGCCTCATACCAGTTGGCTGGGGCTTCTCCTTCCATCAGGTTACCAGCATATCGGATCCTAACCTCTTCGTAGGTAAAGAACTGGCTTTCAATGGAGAAGACATTCTCACATTGCCTGATGAAGGTCTCCACATTGTTTGCTTTGCCATTGAACTTGGCCTGAGGGTGTGCCTTTGGTTCTCGGGCCCTGGAGGCAGCGGAGGGGTGTGAGGTGGCCGGAGGTCTCATGAACTGTGTCATGGAGGCCAGGAGCTCTGTCTGCTGCTTCTCCAGCATCTTCCTGAGGTATCTCCGCCATCCTCTCCTATCTACATACTCAGGCTCCGAATCTGAACTATCTGAGTCCCCTCCCGGGTTGGGATCGCCACCAACCGGGGGGACTATTCCATTTTGTCCACCATTACCCGCTGGTTCTGGGTTCTGGTTTTTTCTCCACCGGGGGTTTCCCTCCGGCTGGAGGTTTCCCTCCGGCTGGAGGTTTCTCCTGGGAGACTTCGCTCGTTGAAGCATGACACAATGGCACCTAACTCCTTGTCGTGAACGTCATAATTCCGTTCGGCTTGTGACATCATTTTGGAGTAAAAGACTCCTGGATACCACTTGTTGTCATCTCGGTGGAATTGGGACGGTATGCTAGATTTAGCGAAGTTGGAGGCACCGGTCTCAATCTTGGTAGCTAGCTCGGCATCAAAGTGGGCTAGTACGGGGGCGGATGGAAGGCCTCTTTCAGGACTTCGAACGCATGCTCCTATCCCTCAGACCAGGTAAACTCGGTGTCCTTGTCTCCTTCCACGGTTAGTGCCGGGTTCGGTTAAAGCCGGACCGAACTCCTGCTTCGGCTAACCACGCTGATTCTCGGAACTGGAATAGGAGTTCGCTTATAAAAGCGGGGTATCCGTCGAACTAAGGAGGGTAAGAATTCTTTTCCTTCTATTCATTCTACACTCCAGGGAGTTCGATCTTTCCACACCCAACACCAAATTTATCACCTCCTTTCAGCAATAATGTTTTTCTTTATTCTATTCCTCTCTTTGTTCATTGCGATCAATTCGTCTATTGTACAAGCGTTTTTATCTAACGCTAGTCGATCTCGGCGGGGGACAAGGCTTAGATCCTCAACTGGTGCGGTTGTTACTGATCTCCTGGAGCTGGATGGTGGTAACACCATCCACGCTCGGAGAGTTGCTCGTAAAGCCGTCCGATCACGGAGTGCTATGAGGTAGGCATGATCCAGCGAGTTGTGTAACCTCTTCTTACTACCGCTAATGCTTCCACAGGCATGCTGTTCCTCGGAGTTTGGAGACCTCGACCTTCGATGGCCATTTCAACCAGGTCCCATTTCTGACTCGGGAGGATTACCGTCGTCCTTATCCCTTCTCCCAACCAGGGGACAGAAGTGTTGGTCAGGCTCGTGTCCGTGCGGCACTGATGGAGAAACGGGAACAGGTGCGGTGGATGCGGGATGAGATTGCGCGAGATGGAAGGGGAGCTGAGTGGATGCGGCAGCGAGTGGTCCAAGAAGAGGCAAGGGAGAGACAAAGACTGGCTCTCCAAGCATATTACGAGGCATGGTGGCGCCAGAAGAAAGCCAGTTATCCCCCTCTTCCGGACTCTTCCTGCCGTCATCGTGGACGAAGTAACGTTGACTTTGGTTGGGACTGGGGCCCAGATGGGGAATGGGGGCCGTTGGTCAATGGGACTATCAGGATTTTCTAGGAGCGATCCTGAATGTGGTCTCCTTTCCGAGCGAAGCTGGGCGCTATAACCCTTTGAGCGAATGTGGGCGCTATAACCCTTTGAGCGAATGTGGGCGCTATAACCCTCTGACGGATACAGTGGAGACCATAGTAAAGTGTTAGCCTCTCCCATGCCAGCCTGAGCTGAAAAAAAAAAAAGCTAACTGCTCGGTTATTTCAGCCTTGAAAGTGGTCCTAGGTGTTCAGGTAGGTTTTTTTCTTTCTCGTGGGGTTCTTTAAGCGAGGAGCTTAAAGTTATACTGTAACGGGGGTGCCTTGAAAGGGCGCGACCGTGACTTCGATCAGGTAGATAGGCAGAAAGGAATTCGACAAGCTATCCTTTCGGCTCGTTCGATGGAAAGATAGAGTTTCATTTGTTTGATCGTTATTTGTAGTCTAGAAACTTAATAACTTTAAGGGGGCTCCTCGCTGGTAAAGACTCCCTGATCCCCCCGAAACCAAGCTGGGGCAACCGAGTTCCTTTATGGAAGTTCGGCGCCCCTTCCTTCATTACCTCTTTCCTTTTTTCACTGGCCGTCCGCCTTTCAAATAATCTGGGGGCACCACCTATTTTCTATCAGGGGGGAGGAGAAGAGTTGCTACCACACCGCGGACGAATTTTCGTCCGAGTCAAATCTCGCAATCCTTGCCAAGAAAGGGTCGGGATCCTAGGAACTAGAGGAAACAGCCGACCAGACAGCAATTGCTTATTCAGAGTATTTAGAATAGATTTGGGTGTTTTTAAAGCAAAGGTTTGCTTTGGTAGTTTGGGTCGCACTCTTACTCCCCCCAAAGATGCACCGGGCTGAAACAGGAGGGTTCCGGCGGTTCGACGCTCCGGGGGTTATTTTTGGGGGTCTAAAACGTGTTTATTTTGCAGTGTTTCCTCAACTCCGCAATGCGTTCATTCAACCACCCCAAATGGACCGGAGCATCGCCAGGATCCTTTCTGACGTGGTAAAGCATATTTTCCGGGCATCGGCTGCAAAGTTATTGCGCCTCAAAGGTTGAATGCCAAGGTAGGGTAACTTATGTTTGGGGTTACCCTTCCTTATTTGGTCTGCTCGTCCTGCTGCTCTAGTTTTGGTCCAGTCGTCTAGCTTGACTTGTAAGACTTCTTGCTCGCCAGGATCTCTACCCTCTATACCAATAGAGGTAGGGGCTCATCTGCCCTTCTCTTCACCCATCGATGAAGAACCAGCTGCGGTTAACCTAGGGCCGTATGGCTTGACTGGTAGAACAGGTATTTTTGTAACAGCCCTACTGTGGCCCTGTTACATCTGTAGGTAAAGGCAGGTTTTTTGGTTAGTCTGTTGCCTCCCAGTCAGGTTTGAATGAGCAATTTGGCAGACTTACGAATGATTGAGGCTGTAGGCTTCTGCCTACCCTCATGCTTCTTTCGACTCAAGGATTCTTAGTAGACATCCATGTCGACGTCTGACTCCGGTCCGGAGTCGACAATATTCATCGTCACCCCATCGAATGAGAGGAGTGCGGCGGCAACGGAAGATTCAGGAGTTGGTTCCGCAGGTGCCGATAAGACGGTGACCCGCTTCTTACTCCCGTTATCCTCGAAGCCTCTTTTCCTCTTTGCCCCAGCGATCTTTTTCTCCGGAGCACCATCTCCTACCGGCTTTGCTGCTTGACAGAAGATCCACTTAGGACCACTGAACCCACAACGAGTGCACAGGTTCCCTTCAAACCTCCTGGTTCTGAGGTTGGGGGATACGCCTGCCAAAGCGGTAGATTTGTCCTTAATGAAATCGAAGCGAGGCTTAGCCTTGCCCGAGTCATTGGATAACCTAGGAGTGGAGCCAGTAACCTTACGGTTTCCGTTCCGTTCTCTCTCCTTTCCTTTGTCCCTATTCCGGGAGTCAGGCTTTGAAGGTTCCTTGGTGGTTGGAGCCTTCTCACGGGCTTGCTCCAGCTTATGAAGCTGCTCGAGCTTATGCCCTAGGGAACGGAGTCCAGCAAGCCAGTCCGTAATTGGTTTCGGCTGGTCAAGGACTTTTGCCCATTCCCTATACAAATCTCGGTGGAGTGCATTCAGGATATGATCCTTTATGCTAACTTCATCCGTGTATCCGGTTCTCATGACCAGCTCGATCGATTTGTCAATGAACTCATCGATCTTCCCTGCGACGTGCCTCACGCTTCTCCATTCCTCCACTGCCTTCTCTCGAGTCAGACTAAAAAAACTTTTTTTTTTTTTTTTTTTTTTTTTTTGAATACCGTATCTCTTCCCTCGGTTAATGCCGGGTTCGGTTAAAGCCGGACCAATCTCCCACTACGGGTAACCACGCTGATTCTCAGAACCTGTATAGGGGTTCGCTTATAAAAGCAGGGTATTCGTCGAACTTAGGAGGGTAAGAATTCCTTTCCTTCATTCATTCAACGTTCCCGGAAATCCGATTTTTCCTCACCCGACACCAAGTTTATCACTTCTTTCCAGCAACAATGCTCTTCTTCATCCTATTACTTTCTTTGTTCTTCGCGATCAATTCGTCCATCGTTCAAGCGTTTTTATCTAACGCAAGTCGATCTCGACGGGAGACGAGGTTTAGATCTTCAACATGTCCGATCATCACCGATCTCGTGGAGTTGAATGGTGGTAACTCTGTCTACTCTCGAAGAGTTGCTCGGAAAGCTGTCCGATCAGGGAGCGCTATGAGGTAGGCATGATTCAGTGACTCCTGTAACCTCCTCTTACTCCCGCTAATGTTTCCACAGACGGGCTGTTCCTCGAGGCTTGGAGACTTCGACCTTCGACGGCCATTTCAACCAGGTTCCGTTTCTGAGTCGGGAGGATTTCGGTCGTCCTTATCCCTTCTGCCAACAAGGAGACAGAAGTGTTGATCAGGCTCGTCTTCGTACGGCGATGAGGGAGAAACGGGAAGAGGTGCAGTGGATGCGGGATGAGATTGCGTGAGATGGGAGGGGAGCGGAGTGGATGCGGCAGAGAGTGGCCCAAGAAGAGAAGAATGCGAGACAGCAACTGGCTCTCGAAGCGCATTATGAGGCATGGTGGCGCCAGAAGAGAGCCAGTTATCCTCCTCTTCCGGACCCTGCCTGCCGTCATCGTGGACGGAGGGACGTTGACTTTGGTTGGGACTGGGGCCCAGATGGAGAATGGGGTCCCTTGACGAATGGGTGTATCAGGATTTCTTAGGAGCGATCCTACATGTGGACTTTTTTTTTTTGGAGCGAAACTGGGCGCTATAACCCTTTGAGTGAATGTGGGCGCTATAACCCTTTGAGTGAATGTGGGCGCTATAACCCTTTGACGGATGCAGTGAAGACCATCGTAAAGTGTTAGCCTTTCCCATTTCAGACTAAGAGAAGAAAAAAGCTAATTGCTTGGTAATCTCAGCTTTGGAAACGGTCCTCTCTGTTCAGGTAAAATTCTTTTTTTTTTTCGTGGAATTCTTTAAGCGAGGAGCTTAAAGTTATACTGTAACGGGGGTGCTATGATGGGGCACGACCGTGACTTCGATCAGGTAGGAATGATAAAGAAAGCGAACGAGTTATGATGGGACTGGTTGAACAGAAAGATAGAGTTTGTTTTTTGTTTGATCGTTATTTGTAGTCTAGAAACTTAATAACTTTAAGGGGTCTTCTCGCTAGTAAAGATCCGATAATTCTGAGAGGCCAACCTGGGGCATTACCGAGTTCTTTATAGAAGTTCGGTGCCCTTGTTCAGGTTATTTGTTTCTGACGGCAAAGCTGCCTGTCAATAGTCGGGGGCACAGCGACTATTTCCTATGAGGGGCGAGAGGAGTTGCTACCACACCTTGTACGAACTTCCGCCCGAGTCAAATCACGTAATCTCTGCCAAGAGTTGGTCGGGGTCCTGAGGACTAGCGGAAACAACCGACCAGATGGCAATTGCTTATTCAATTTGTTTTAGAATGGATTTGGTGTTTTTGTAAAGCGAGGTTTGCTTTAGTGGCTTGTGTCATACTCCTACTCCCCAAAGATGCACCGGGCTGAAACAGCAGGGTTCCGGCGGTTCGACCCTCCGGGGGTTATTTTTGGGGTCTAAAACGTGTTTATTTTGCAGCGTTTCCTCAACTCCGCAACGCGTTCATTAGATTAGCCCAAATTGACCGGAGCGCCGCCAGGATCCTTTCTGGCATGCTAAAGCATTTTTTCCAGACATTGGTTGCAAAGTTATTGCACCTCAAAGGTGGACCACCAAGGTAGGGTAACTTATGTTAGGGGTTACCCTTCCTGTTTGGCGTGCTTGTCCTTCTGTTCTAGTTTTACCCAATCGCTTGGGTTGACTCATGAAGCTCGTAGCTCGCTAAGATCCCTACTCTCCATACCAATAGAGGTAGGGGCTCACCGGCCCTTGTCTTCACCCGTCGATGAAGAACAAACTGCAGTTACCCTAGGGTCGTATGGCTCTGACTGGTAGAACAGGTATTATTATAACGGCCTGATAGTAGCCCCGTTATACCGTTAGAAGGCATCACTGGAACTTAGTAAGGGGAGTAGGAGCAGGGAATGTAATCCTTTGGAGTATAAGTACCCAGGATCCTCCCTGCCCAACTATCCGATCTCTCCAATCTTCGGGAGGGTATCAGGTATTCTGCTCAGTAGCTGTAACGGAGCCATTTCAACTGTCTGGTGTATGAGTACACACAGGGCCCGGTTACATGCTGAGAGTTATTGTTAGAAGCCAGTTGCACAGTGATATGCATGTACCGGCAGTGTGGTTAGCTACCAGCTGTCAGAGTAACAACATTCTGAGCGCTAGGAAGAGGATCTACTCATCGGAGCAATGACTGGCGAGTCTGTGCCTCGCCAATGATTAGAAGGCCAGCCAGAGTGGAGCTCTGAGTGCTCGGCGATCCTCTATATCCTCTGAGCATTGGAAGTCCGCCAGTAGTGGAAGGGACTATGCCTGGGAAAGTCTACAATAAGCGAAAGCTCTACAGCAATGATTAAGCTTACATCTGAGCGGCAGCTCATTTCATGCAGGCCCCAGTTGTGTGGCAACAAAGGCTGCAGGTGTTACAAAGGCTTTGACTAAGGGTGGTTGCCTTCGGAACCGGAAGCACTCGCCGACGCTTAGAGAGAAGCGGGGTGGCGATGGAATTGCTTCCCTTCAACTAAAAAGCAGCACCGGAACTTAGTAAGGAAGTAGGAGCAGAGAATAGAGTCCTTTGGAGTATAAGTACGCAGGATCATTCCCGCCCAACTGTCCGGATCCTCATCTTGACTATCATCGGGAGGAGAGCCCTTAAAGATTATTGAGTTCTAGCAATAGTATCTTTAAATAAATCTGCACCTGATTTCTATCTTGCACGGCCGCATCTATTCTATTGGATTCTAGCGATACATAGAAGAGGCTGCCCCCGTTACAGTAGCGGAACCCTTAAACATTATTGAGTTCTAGCGATAAATCTGTTGAATAATCTAAACCTGATTTCTATCTTGCACGGCCACATCTTTCTATCGGATTCTAGCGATACGTGGAAAGACTGTTCCCATAACAAATATCCTGTTATCTCTCGGTTACATAATCTCTGACACTAAACCTTGTCTGAATCCCTTGTTGCTTCTAAGGGTCATCCCTTATACATGAGTAATTCCATACATTACCAATGTCGCAATGCCCTATTTCTACAGTTGGGTCATGATACTGTCAGGGCGGTCGAGGATGTGGGGGTCCGGGGAGCATTGGTAGCGTCAAAGTTCTTCTTGGAGGTATTCGTTGTCTTGTTGAAGGGAGGTGATATCACCTGGCATAGTTTTGTTTTGTTTGGCAATGCCGCACTGGCACAGGAGTGTGACGATCAGTCTGGTCTCGTCAGAAGTGTTTGCATTGGTCAAGATGGCAACGGTGAGGGCCGACTCGTAGAGAGAGCTCTCGCTTATTGTAGACTTTCTGTAACGGCAATATTGTATTTCGGCTAAGGTGATAGATTGGATTGTGAAGAGGAGGTATTGCGCGGTTGAACTATGATTTGTAATGGGGTTTCCGTTATGTTCTTTCGGTTTCCGTTACGTGGGGCATTAGTCATCAACGGACTAGGAGTTGGATATATAAGGGGGCGTTGTCTCGTGTCTTTTGATGTTTTCCTTCCTTTCCTCTTCTTCTCACGGAACCTCTTGTATCTACTCCACGAATATTACTTTTGTTCTACGCCTCGTCATAGGGTTCAACTAGTTGTCATACTAGGTAGAGCCACTCCATAGCCCATAGCCTTGAATACCTATTGCCACGTTCTCGCCTCGGTTGTATTCCTTGGCACCCTAGTCCCTACGTCCATAGACCCCCGTTACACTAGGTTCCGTTCTCCATTGCCAACCAATACAACACCATAGTCTACCATGGCGGCACATCTCCCTATTGATTATCAACAGCTAAGCGATGCCCTTCAGACCTTCTTTCAAGAACATCCAGAGGTGGATGGCAATGTTGAAATAGAAGCCTATGCACTTCTTCAACGGGCACAACATGGCCTTGCTCAGTATGCAACGGACTTACAGGAGGTGGAGAGGGAGGCTGGAAATGCAAGGGAGATGTTTGAACGAGATCTAGCCGCTGCCAGGGCCCACCGAGTCGCTGTTGAGGTGGTTGCCCCTGATGAAGAACCAATCGGAGAAGATAATGCCCCACCGGTACCTCCAGTTCCACCTGTTCCAGTGGTCACCCAATGGTCAGAAAAACTCCCAGACTCCGAAGTGTTTAAGGGAGATCGCGATCGAGAAAGACTACACCTATTCAAGCAACAGATGAAAATCAAGCTATTGGGAAATGCCGACCGCTTTCCCACACTACAGTCCAAATTATCCTATGCATTCAGCCGATTGGAGGGTGTCGTCGCCAATCAGTTCTTACAATATTTCGGAGAAGAAGGCATCGCTTTGCCTTCCATGTTACGGTTTTATGAAATCTTAGATACTGCTTTTGGGGATCATGATCGAATGCGTACGGCTAGGAGGAACCTTAGGAACATCCGTCAACGAAACCGAACCTTTGCTGATTACTTCGCCGAATTCCAACGGTATGCTGCCGCGTCTGGGATGGATGAAGTCTCTCGGATTGAGGCTTTGATGGAGGGTATTAATGTGGAACTCGATGAA